CTAGTTTCAAAGCTAATTATTAATTATATAGATATATTTTAGTTTGCAATATTATGAATCTTACTAGATTTCGGTACATTCAGTCACATATATCTCGGGATACATTCGGTCAAAACTATCTGTAATTTGGTCTAGATACATTATATCAAAGTGGATTCGCATATACATAACAAATTTCGCTCACCACTCTCCTATGCATATGGTATCCTAGATTGCGAGTATCTGGTGTGATTAACATGTATCTTGGGTACATGACTATCTCACTCGCATGTTTTCCAATTTTAATATATCTTGTAGCAAATATACATGTATATTAGTGTATCTACCTCAATATATATGGTAGAAAAAACTCTTAATTAGCAGTAAAATACGTAATAATTTGAAAGTTAAGATAATATAATAGTGTGTGTGTGTGTGTTTGTGTGTATATATATATATATATATATATATATATATATATATATATATTATAGTGAAGTGTGTCTAATTGTGTAGTATCGCCAGAGACAAATGCTTGTGCTATTTAGCATACTGGGCTTGACAGATAAGAACATTTGGGCCTGAATGAAAAATTGTTGGGCTATTTAGTATTTTGGGCTTGATAGAAAAGAACATTTGGGCCTGAAAGAAAGAAAAGCGGTTGGGCTTTGGCTTGTTGGCTTTTATGGACTTCAGTTCTGAATATTTAGGCTAAATTGCTTCAATTTAATATGATAATCGAAGTACCAAAAACATCATATAGTAGCAGATATCGAAGGACAAGAAATACATGCGTAATAAAATGACTGTTAGTATGGAAGGATAAGCAAGGTAACGATTCACTATTTACTAAACATTTATTATAATACGTGTCCTCCACAACCTCTTATCTATGAGTCACGTCCCAAGTAAGCTGAAGTTATACCATCTCCTATCAATATTGATCAACCACACATACAAAGTATTACAATATCGTCAAACGTTTGAAATAACTTACAAAACATTTTCCCATTTCGTTTATATTTTGTTCAAAACATATTTTTAAATCATGAACTTTAAGGATCATAAGTTCAAAAAAAAGTTACTAAATAATTTATTTATTCAAAGGAGAGAATCTTCCAAAATTTATGCACCAATTTTAATGTTCATTTTTAATAATGTATGATAACAACATATGTCATAGTATTCTTGTAACTCTATTTCAAAAATTTTACTCTTATCAAAAATTATTTTTTTATTTCATAAAGATATATAATAAAAAAAAACGACAATAAAACTACATACACCTTATCCGCTCTAAATTTTACCCGACATTAAATATGTCATATGTCTAATTATAATAACAACTCATTCACTCTAACGAATATGACACTCTAACTATATCTTATATCGAATAAAATATATTCTCTTCAACTAAAATCAACATGAAATAGTCGCATCAATTAAAGTAAAACCCTAATACTGAAGTTGTAAACTTCTTGATTACTTTATTTTCATGACATATAAAAAAAATATGTGACTTTTATTTTCATGATGTGAAGTAAGAAAACTTTATAATATATATTTATTTATTAGTATAGAGTAAATGAAATAATAATAATAAATACCTATAAAAAGTTCATAATCATCAAAACTTTAGAATAGACTATAAGAAGAAAGAGTCAAAAACAATAATAAATGTAGCAGTTGGTATATATTATAATGGAAATATGTGGTCCCTTTTAATGTTTTGTTTTTATTCCTAATAAAACAAATTCATCAAATTAAATTAAATAAAGCACCTTTAAAACTTAGGGTTTTGAGATTGGAGTGTCGACACAGTAAGAAATTGTATAGAAATGACATATTTTTTAATGTCAATTTGCTATTTTTTGTATTTTGGGAATCCTATGGTGTCTCCATTTATGTTATTTGGACATATTTTGCTTAGATAGAAAACAATTTTCATTAAGTCATGTGTTCGATTTCGTTTTTTGTAATTCATCGATACATATCATTTAATATTTTTGATTCTGTTGATATCTGAATTTGAGATTTTGTTCCAGAGATCACTGGGACGCATTCTTAAATAATGACGAAACTAACCTTGTTGATACTCTTTTTCTTTGTGTTTTTTACTTTTTATTATTCAGTTAGTACTAATATCATAGTTTCTTCTCTTTCGATTTTTGTTAATACATGATGTTCTTTACTTCCGTTATCACATTATTTTTTAAAGGTATCCGATTTTTTATTTTTTTTGAATGCTATGTAGGTATTGTTATTATTTTCTACGTCTACTTTGCATTTTTAAGTTACTTTTTAAGAAATTATTTTATTGCGAGTTATTTTCTTTCTCCAACAATAGTTATTCATTATTAACTTGACACATATCTTTAGAAATAATAAATAATAAGGGGTAATATTACTATATTACCCTTTGGACATATTAAATTTAATGTTTCAGACACTACATAAAAATTATCTATAGCGACAATTTAACTAACGACGATAGCTCAATTGCCGCAAAATATGTATTTTTAGCGGTAATTAACTTTCTTTGTATATGTCTCTAAAGCCTTTAGCAACATTTGATCCAATGACACTTAATTAATGTCAGTAAAAAATTTAACACTCTTTATTGATATGTTTATTTGTTGCCGTTAAAAGTTAATTTTATTGTAAAGAGAAAATGTATTAGATATTGAACAATTTTTTATAACAAGGGTAAAATTAACATAAAAAGATAAAATTATCTCTTAATTTTTTAAAAAATAAATAAATATTATTTGACAACTATTTTTAATATAGCGCACTAGTAAAAATGAACGGATGAAGTAAGTAAAAACTTTTTGGAAACAATTTTTTTCAATGTTTACGAGTATGGAAAAAATTAATATACACTCTATTTTACTTTTATATGACCCGATTCGATTATACTGATTATGTTATTATTGTTGTTTGATTGTAAATGTCAATTATTGGTTACCAGCCACTTTTCATGGCACTAGTTGTGTACATGTGTATTTATTGGGAGAACAATATGTCTCTCTCAAACTCACACATTTTTCTAAAGAAAGTAACTATAATTTTAATTAAATTAAACTATGATTACTGATATACTATATCAAATCATATCAAATTAATTTGATACGATAATAATATAATATTTTTTCAAATCGAAAATCGAAATTATTAATATCGTACCATTCCCACCCCTACTCAAAAATTAGATCTAGTCATCCACCACATTAGTGAATAGTGATATTTCTGTACTATATTAATAAAACAATCACAAAAATGCCTTTCAGAAAAAGTTTAATATCTTTACTAACCGACATTTGACTAATTTTCAAGTAACTAAATTAATATTTTTTTAATTAACTTTAATTATAATAATAATATGTGTAGTTATATGAAAATGAGAGTTATTTAATTGATTAGATTACTCAATAATTTAAAATTGCTGGTTGGTGAAGGAATATCAATTAAATGTATATTTGCAGAATCTTTTTTTTTTTTTGCCCCCTTCTTCTTTATTTAAGATGAGCATGCCCATGACAATTATATTTATTTCAAACTGGACAAAAAAAAAAAATTATTTTTAATATACTGAAAAAATAAATGTAGATGGAGAAAATATTTATAAATGAGACATGCATGAGATAGTTATTATCTTATGAATAGTAAACTCTCTAATTTAGTCATTTAGATAAGGAATAAACATTTTATACTTTTTCTTTGTCCACTTTTATTTGTCTTATGCTTTTTGATTTTATATGTTAATTTAATATTTTTTTTTAAATGTTAGATATGTAAAAACTATATAAAATGCTTTTTGATTTTATATGTTAATTTAATATTTTTTTCTAAAAGTTAGATATACAAAAATTATATAAAAAGTACTATAAACAGATCAAAATGATGAAAATATATATATATCGATAAATGTTGATCAAAGTTCTTATAATTTAACTCTAAAAAACGAAATTATGACAATTAATTATGGAGGAAAGGAGCAAATAAAAAGAAAAAGAGATTCACTTTACCATTCGTAAATTGCTATAAACAAGCTAGAAGTATTAAAAAACATTTTTAAATTTAATATAAATTATTAATTTCGTTTCTAAACTATTGACAGCTTAAAAATACCTTTCTATTGGACTAATTAAATTATTACATAGCATGTGATCTCAAACTTCCGTAATGACACGAAATTTTTAATAAAAAGTGAAAAGAAGAATTGAAAATAATCCTCCTAAATTGGATGAGAATTCCGAGGACATATTTCACTCATGTTATTTAAATTAAATTAGCCAAATAAAATGATATTATTAAGACAATTAATAATTTTAAAAATAAAACTAATAATTCACGTTAAGTTTAGACGCGTTTTCTAATTAAAATATTGTGGGAATCAGTTACTACATGAGTCATACAACCAGTGGCTACAATAAGGACAAGTATTTCTCTACCTAAATTCTGCAGAAGCCCCAAATTGTTTTAAATTATTTATTTTTTAAAAAAAAAATCTTTTTTCAATATTCGATATTCATTTTAAAGTTTATTAAATAGTAATCAGGCACTCAAAGTCTATTTATAAATCCTACATCTTTTAAAATTCAAGATTTCTAATTGAGAGTAAAATTTTAACCATCTCACCACCACGAACGGTGTTAGAATCTTTGAAATGTACTTTTCACTTAGAACACAGTTTATAAGTACTGATTCAGTGGTTTTTCAACAGTAAACAGACATGAACTTTTGTATTTTAGTCTGACACTAATTTTTTTTTTTAAAAAAAACAAGAACAGGTAATTAGTGTACTAATAAACAATAATGTAGATACTGTTAAATTTAATTAACGAAAAGATAGTGTTTTAAAGGAATTCATGGATAGTGGTTGAGACAAAAATGAAAAAACAGTGTATTTTTGTTATAGCATAAGTCAACATCATTTTGTTTAATGCAAAACAAACAAAAAATCTCAATTTCTTCCTTATTTGATGCCTACTTTTTGTCTCTCACACTTTTGTTTTCCTCCATAAGAAATTACTCCAACATTAACACATTATGGTTTTTCTCTTCTGGTGTCTGAATCAACTTGCGTGCAGATTGATTGATTAGATATCTGTTATCTCCAACATCAGGTATCAGTTAACTCAATAAATCAAGAATTGTATATTTTAAGTCTTGTTTTGAGAATAAAGTTAGTAGCTTTATGGTTTCTTGATTTTTTGTGCCTAAATTTCAGTGTAGGGAAAAGTGTTCATTTGTGATGGAGAAAAAGAGATCATCAAGAAATCCACATCAGATAGATAAGAGTCAGCTTAATTGTATGTGGGGATTGATTAGTAGCCTTTATTTTGGTCAAAATCAGAGGAAACAGAAGCTGCTGTCAAATGGGAAAGGTTCTACAAAGAATGTTATAGGTATGTGGTTGGAATTATTCGATTCGGAAACGGTCTCTCTACCTTCCGAGCTAGTAATGTCTGCGTATATCCTACCCTCCCGAACCTCATTTGTTGTGCACTTTGTTAATAAGTGATTGTTTTTTCTTATCTTGCAGGCAAAAATTCAAGAAAGATTGATGCTTTAACTTACTGTAGCGACCAATTGTATGGCTATGAGGTGAGTTTGTTTGGAGAATTTAACCATTTATCTAATTATCACCAAAAATGTGTGGTATAGAACTTAGCCAAATCTAGTTGTAAGGTTCTTGCATCACAAGGTTAATGAAAAAAATGTAACTTTGGAGAATAATTCTTGTTTTGGTGCTATGTAGCTCTGACTCTTCAAAAATGTTAAGGGGTGTGTGTCGGATTTGCCAAAAGTAGCGTATAGTGAAGAGTCTGTGAAACTTAGGTTTTGTGTACCTGAAGTTCTTATAGCAATGTAGTCATAAGACAAGTGGTTTTTACTCCTTGAGGAAGAAAAATGTGTTTCGATATCCTTGTAGATAAGATAATGACTCTGTAGGCAGGGGTGGAGCTACATGTAGTGAAGGGGGTTCGATTGAATCCCATTTGTCGGAGAGTATACTGTGCGAAATAGAGTAAAGCTGTGACATTCTTGACTCTTTTTGCATTTCCTTGTTAATATTTCTGACTCCGTCACTTCTCGTAGCACATTATGAATGCAGCTTTTGAGTAAAGGTAATGACTTGAGAGTTGTTTGTCTCAGGATGGAGCTGAAGTGGAAGCTTTAGGAGTTCGTACGGGTGATAAAAGGATAAAGACTTCGATTCACGAAGAAATTTCTGGTGAAATGCAGAAGAGCACTCAAATTATAGCCCGAAATGAGCAACACGAAGAAGTAGATTATGGACTATTTGATCATATGATAAGTAAATACAAGCCATCGCCAAAGAAGGGCTGTAAGAATCAGTCACCTGTTTACGATTGGAAGGATACTGAGACCGGGGATATTCAGCAGGCTTCAAGTTCAGCGGAAATGTCTATTCATAAGTTAAAATTGGCATCCATATTAGAAGCTATCGGCAGTCAAATTCATCGAGAAGATGGGGATTCAAAGAGGAGTTCCATTAAGAATGATCAGCTTGATGAGATCAGTTTACAAGTGCTTCAGACGAGTGCTAAAGCATTTATCGATCAAATGTTCATAGACAGGAAGTATATCAGCAAAGGTAACATGAGCTATGAGCCCGAACAGTTTTCCAATGCATTAGAGATGTTAAATTCAAATGGAGATTTGTTTCTGAAACTCCTACAAGATCCGAATTCACTCTTAGCTAAGCAAATCCGAAACATGCAAAACGTGCAAATGGCTAGAGATTCGATCAAGTCCTTCATGAGTAACAGACTACCAGACTGTAACATTTCAAAGAGTGAACATAAGCATCATCAATCTGCATTCGAAGAAAGTTCCAACTCCCGGCCTTCAAATAAAATAGTTGTTCTGAAGCCGATTCCTAGAACTGTTCGATGTTCTGAAAATGTTTACTGCTATTGCTCGTCTATCCAGTCTCATCATAGCACAAGTAGTAAAGGGGGAAATTTGCAGCACAAGAACTTTTCTCTCAAAGATATTAAGAGGAAACTGAAATATGCAATGGGAGAAAAATGGAAAGAGAAGCATTTGATATCAGTAGGAAGTACTGTACATAAGCTTCATAGCGTCAGCGATAGGAAGAACTTAGAAGTTGATGAAGGGGGAAGTTCATGTCTTACTACTGCACGATCCACTAACTCGTTCACCGAGTCCAACAACAAGAATGAGGCACAAAATAAACAAATATCCACAAGTGAAGCACCTAAAGTCTCCTTTCTGACTGAAAAAGTGCGTAAAAAGTTGGACGCGTCTGCCATAAGCTACACCAAGAAACGGGAACTCGATATATCTATGGAGGCAAAGAGACATCTTTCTCAAAGATTGAACTTTGTCAACACTACAGATGAAGCTGCGATGAGCACACAACCCTCAAGAACATTGGAAAGAATTCTTTCCTCGCCCGAGCATGATCGTTTGTTCAACTATTGTTCAAAACAGGATCGAAAGAGTAATCCAGAACAACCGTGTTACAATGGTAGGTTTCTCTTCCATTTATTAGAGAATTCTTTGGTCTTCATATGCACATTAAGTTGTTAACATTCATTTCTTGCAGATACAAGTATAGCGGAATTGCCCCGTGATCCAACACATACTAGTTTTCAAAGTCCTCAAAGACACAAGGATTCTCAGCATCTCAAAAGCTCAATGCTGGTAAGTTTTGCATCCTCTCCCACTAATATGTCACGAAAATATTGCGAAACATGTTTTGATATTAGTTGTTTTCTGTTTACTTCAAATCTTACTCCTGTTGCACCATAATCCTCTTTAGGCTTCACCTTCAGAAGTCTGGTCTCCTGGTTCTTCAACTGACGTTTCATCGACGAGTCCATATAGCATGTACAAATTAAGAGGTGTCGACAGCATTATGGACCGAGGAGATCACCCAAGCCCGGTGTCAGTCCTGGAACCAGTTTTCACCGATGATCTAATCAGCCCTTCAAGAAATGAACCATGTGAGTAACACAATATCTTCAAGATAATTTCACGTATAGTCACTAAACTTTATCCACTATAACAGCAAAGTCACTAAACTTCATGATCATTTGCAGCTGGCACTGTATTACAACCACGTCGTATCAACTTTGAGGGATGTTTGAACAAGGAATCCACTGAAAATGCCATACTGAATCGTGCTGAACCTGACACCCTTCGCACTTACATTCAGTCAAGTTTGCATACTCTTCACTTGAATTGGGAAGAACTTTGGCTAAATAGGCATCTTTCAGAACAAATGCTCGATGCAATGCTATCCGATGAACTAGAGACATTAGCACTACAATGCCATTCCGAGCCTAAACTCCTTATGGACTACACAAATGAAGCTCTACTAGAAGCATATGATTCTCACTTCAGATATCCTCCGTGGCTATCGTTCTTTCAACCCAAACTCTGGTCCTTTCCACCAGAAAAACATCTACTGGAAAAGGTAATGAATGAAGTGAAACAACACCTTGTTCCATTGATGGATCAACCTACATTGAATGACCATGTTGAAACTGACTTGGCAAAATCTGGTTCATGGCTCGATATACGAGACGATACTGAAGATGTTCTGACTCAAATCACAGATGATGTCCTTGAAGAATCAATTATGTGTACTGTTCTTCAACTTCAAAACCTCTTTCTTGTGTAGCTAAATTTAAGCTTCTTTCATGGAAATTTCATTTTTTTCTTTCTTTTTGTTGTAATGAGAATTTATACTCCTTAGCTAGTATATATATCTTCTTGTTTATATAGAGTTTTGTTTTTAAAATGTTGTTATGATGATTATAGTTGATGTAGTTAAATAACATATTAGAATATTGAAGGTACCAATTCACACTCCCATTTGTTTTTCTTTCTGGTTTATAGTGTCCGCGTTGGTGGATTGAGGTGAAATACTTTCACATCTAAGGTTCGAATTTGAGACCTTTAGTTAAGTTACTTAAACATGTCAGGATGCTTACCACTCTACTACAATTGTTATTGTTTGCTACAATAGGTATCTTGCATAATAAATAAAAAACTTTTTGAATAACCAAAGATTTTTCACAATTCTATTACTAATTTTATCATAAACTAAAAATGATATTAGTTTAATATCAATATTTAGTTTTTTTTTTTTTTTTTTTATGATAGAGAAATTAAATTGATACATATACCTTGTACTTTTGGAGTAGGTTGTGTACAAGTCAATATCTTCATAAAGAAGCAATAATTTGTAGCCTTTGATAACCTCTATTCACAGGCAAGTTGACAATTTGGAAATTGACAGCTTTTCACATGCAAGTTTGAAAATGATTTTCAAAACCTATTTTTTTAGGAAAATTAGAAGAATAAAAATAAAATCATTATCAAGATGAAAATTAAAAATAATTATAAATAAAGCTAGAGGCAAATCCTCTCACATGGTGGGGAAAATGGTTATTTTCATAGTAGATTGTGTTAAAATAAAATTATGTTTAAAAGTAGACATTGTTAATCATATATTATTATAAGTGGGAAGCTCATAACCTCAAAGTTGAATTACTATTTTATCCTTCATTTAAATATTTTTTCTATTTTTTAAAATGTAAAACTATTTTTAATAAATAATTAGATAATAAACTTTAAAGTAATAAAGATATAATGAAAGATAAATAGTCATTCAAACAAATGAAGTTTAAACATTTCAAAACATCTCTTATTTAATTTTAAGTTATAGAATTTGAAGAGTTCCATTGATAAAATTATATACATGATTTTTCCAACAAAATACATTATTTTGATGACTTCTCATGACAATAGCATGTCAATTGATTTATCTCACAAAATTCTTCATCAAATTTTTCATGTTTCTTTTGATCAATAAATTTTGGACATATATGTATATAGATAGAACTAATATTACATGTTTTATTCATTCTTTTCATCGAAAATTTATGTTTTTAACGCAACAGGTGATAAATAATTCTAGAGAGTTTTTCATTTGGACAAAAAGTCTGCTCAACATTCATGAGGTAAAACAAACGGACTTGTGTGAGAAAGAATATGTATATTGTTTCGTTAATTTATTGACGGTAAATTCTTGGAGAATATAGTATCTGAATTAGAATTTAATCATTTTAGTGCATTCGATGCATTCTTCAACAAGGTTAAACGCGTCAATGGACATTTATTTGTTATTTGGTAAGTATTATTTTTCATTTCAATGTTGCAGATTTTTACTTAGTTAATTGTTTGTTACATTCAATTTTTCGGTTAAAGGAAAGTAAATTGACTACTTTTTCTTGAATAATGGCAATGAAAAAGAAAATAAAAATTTTCATTTACTTGTCTGATGTACAAATCTTCTTTTAAAGATTATGTTTGTTATAACAAGTTGATTATCATGTAGTGAACATTCTAGGTTATTGGATAAGAGAATTGAATAATTCATGTAATTAGTTTTTTCTCATAATTAAATCTACAAAAATTAGCATGCATTACATTTAATGTTTTTTTTTAGAATTTATAAATGATTTACTACTTGTATGAAAATAAAATCATGGTGTGATTTCATATTTGTAAATAAATACCCCTAATAACGAAGGACGAGGAACCGTTGAAGAAGAAAAATGATATTGCTAGATATTTTTATATTTTACAACTTTATGTTTTTATTGATTAAATTTAGAACTTACTATTTTATTTATTCTGTCTAGAAAAAAAAATATTTGGATAAAAAATCTCATAGATCCTTTATAATCATTTTAAGGAGTATAAACTCCTTTTAATTTTTAAATATAAAATAATATTATTAATAATCTTTATACTTTTTTTTAAAAAAAGTGTATTGATTGATATAGGTAAACGAGCTGAGGGCGAGTCAAAAAATTATTATTATTTTTATTATATGTGAGAAGATCTTAACTTTAAAATAGGAATATGATTCTACCCTTTTACTAATTTAAATATTATTAAAGAAATAATTAATAAAATATTACTTAAATAATACTTATATGGTATTAATTCATTATGTTTCTAGGTAGAATTAATTAAAGAAATGTTTAATTTATTTTTATTCTAAAATAGAGTTAGTGTGCATACGTTTTGTAGTAATTACAAGGGACAAACGTGCAACGCACGTTTTCAAAATCTAGTTTCAAAAATGAATAAAGGACTGATCAATATGTATATCACATTTTGATCATAAGTTATTGCATTTCGTTATATAACACATCTACATAAAATATTATATGAGGATTTACCTCTGTTTCGTTGATTAAAAAATCAGTATACCACCTTATGTATCATCCACAACTATGATTAATTTTTATACGGATGAATTGACTAAAAATAATTATGTTAGACTAATTTCGAGTTTGTATAATTAATCATGTTTGTATATGTATGATTTGCCTTAATATACAAATACATGTGTAATATACTTATATAATCGATATTCACATACAATTCAGCTCTCTTTCACTCTCTCTCTCCTCTCTCCTTTCTCTCCCAATCTCTCTTGTCATATATACAAATACATATGTATAATATACAATTATCTAACTCATATACATATACAATTCATCTCTCTCACACTCTTTTCCCTCCCTCTCGCCTCTCTCCTCCCTCTCCCAATGTCTCTTGGCATATATACAAATACATATGTATAATATACAGTTATCTAACCGGTATATATATACAATTCACCTCTCTCCCAATCTTGCTCGTCTCTCTCCTCCCTCTCCCAATCTCACTTGCTATATATACAGATGCATATGTATAATATACAATTATCTAACCGATATACATATACAATTCACCTTTCTCTCACGCCTTCCCCTATCTCTCTTGCCTTTATCCTTTCTCCCAGTCTCGCTCGCCTTTCCCCTCCCTATAACATGTAGCTACAAATTGTAATTATCAAACTATAGCTTATGAAGAGTAATTAGACTATTTTTGAGTGGCTATATGTGAAAATTCCTCATATATATGTGTATATCATGTATCATTGCTCGACTTCAACTTTTCCTCCCTTTTTCATTCAATACTCGATACAATTCAACTATCCCTACTGCTCCTTCCATCCAGTATTGTTTGTCGTGGTTTATAGTTTTAGAGTTACATTATAAAAATTTTGACTAACATTTTAAAATGTATTTTTTTCATCATATTAATATGCAAGAAATTGCAATTTATAGTACTTTTTGAATATCCAATTCTTTTGTTTAAACTATCGAATTAATGTAATATAATTTAATAAAATTGAATTTCGAAAAACGTAACATAACAAATAAAAGGGGACGAAGAGTATTTCTCATGTTTAGTGCAATTTTCTGAGTAACAGCTAGTGAGGTTTTAGAATTTGATGAAATCTTTTTTATTTGCATCCTTCTCAACAACTTCAATTTTAATTTTTGATAAAATACAACTCAATTTTTCAAATATTATTTTATCATTTTAAAAATATATTATGTTGGCCCCACAAAACCATATAAAATTGTCATCTTCCCGCCCTTCATAAACCATTCCATAAACCCTAGCCTCCATTTTTTTCTCTGTATATTCTCCGTCAGCTCTCTCCTTTTTCCGGCAATGGAACCTCTAACTCAGGCGAAGAAATCCAACCTCGTACTCATCCTAGATTACGGTTCTCAATACACCCATCTCATCACTCGCCGAATTCGAAGTTTATCAGTTTTCTCACTCTGTATCAATGGCACTTCTTCGTTAGACTCCATAACCGAGCTCAACCCTCGTGTTATTATCCTTTCAGGTGGACCTCACAGTGTCCACGCTGACGGTGCGCCGTGTTTTCCTTCTGGCTTTATTGAGTATGTGGAGTCGCAAGGGATTCATGTGTTGGGGATTTGTTATGGGTTGCAGTTGCTTGTACAGAACCTTGGTGGAGTTGTGAAGGTTGGGGAGAAGCATGAGTATGGGAGAATGGAAATTGAGGTTCAGAAGAATAGTGGGTTGTTTGGGAATAAGCAAATTGGGGATAAACAGGTTGTTTGGATGAGCCATGGTGATGAGGCTGTGAAATTGCCGGAAGGGTTTGAGGTTGTGGCGAGGAGTAATCAGGGAGCTGTTGCTGCCATTGAGAATAGGGAAAAAAAGTTTTATGGGTTGCAGTATCATCCCGAGGTAAAAAAAAATGATCTTTGCAAATTTATTTGGAATCATTATTTAGTGTTTGGTTGGATATAGAAGTACTGATTGTGAAGATACTAAATGGATGATAAGAGTATACAAATAGAGTAAAAAGATCGCATTTAATGATTCTTTGATTACTAAGTGGATGATAGAGTATACAAATAGAAACAAAAGATAGCATTTTGATATTTTTTTGAGTACTACATGGATGATAGTACACAAATCGAATAAAAAGATAGTATTTTGATGGTTTTTTGAGTACTAAATGGATAATTGAATATACAAATAGAATGAAAAGATATCATTTTGATGATTTTTTGAGTACTAAATGGATAGTTGATTGAGTTTGATTGACTGATACATCAGGTGTGCTTCATATAACTTGTTAAAGATACAGAAGTGGGCGGAAAGGGTAGAATGAAGAATACTCTATAGGATCTCTACTTCTGCCTCTATATTTGTGAACACACGCAGAACCGATAGAAAGAGGGAAAAAATGCCATTAACTAATAAAATAAAAGTTATAAACCCACAGCATATTGACCTTCCGCCCTTACAAGATTAGGTTTTATGATCTACTCGTTGCAAATTTATTTGGTCTTTGTTGGTTCATAGGATAGGACCCTCAGACTAGCTCTTTCTGTTTGTTATTTATGTTGTCACCATGATATTTGAGGATATTCATTTCTGACTGATTATGCATTTTCTAGTTTTGGAATCTCTGAA